ATCTATTTCTTTACAGTGCACTAGATGGTGGTGTTGATATTTTTTTCTTATAAAAATCTTTAATGCACGGCAAGCCATTGATTATCGATTATTGATTATATTCCATGGTCATTTGCCAGCATTGACAACTTAAAGCTGTTTATGATGTTAGCAGCGCAATATTTAACCGGAAGGGTAAAAATGACGGTTATTTTTATCAGTTACGGCTCGTTAGCTCTAGCTTTCTGCCAGCTTCAAATCAGATACAGAGATGAAATAGTGCGGTAAGACCATATTTATTTGAATGAATTATCGATCGAGAGAGAGATGACAGTTGTGTGTGTTAATTACCTGCGTCTGTGCATCTCTCTCTACAAACTATGAAGCTGTTTAGTTACTTCAGTTTTACCTCGTTACTGAGGAAGATAATGAAGCGATCTAGTATCTATGTTATTTTATTAATAAAAATCGTGGTGCAGCACCGACAATAAGTTTCTGTGTGTGCACAGTGCGGGCTGCAATCTCCGACCACTCTCCCTCTCACTGTGTTTATGTGCAAGTGGTGTGTGTTTGTGTGTGTTTGTGCATCAATTAAAGCAGCGCATTAATATAGAACGGTGATTAAACTGGCTTGGAACTACATGGAATGAATGAAAGTAAAATACTAAGAGCACAGCAGTGCACAGTATACTTGTTGTAGCACATTGTTTACTTTGAGTAAATTTTATGTTTAATTTAAATTTAAAATTTTTATTTTAATGAAAGGCTGTTTTATTTATTTTAAATTTAACAGTAATTTTTACTTTCAAATGCCTCAATTGCTGAAGGGTCTGCAGAACTTTTGTGTACAAGTTCAAGTTGAATTCAAATACCTGTAGTAGCACAGCAGTGCATACCTGTTTACATTTAATTAAGGTTGACTAGATTAGACTGTAATACAAAAAGTTGAGTTTGCCAGGTGCATACAACATTTATGACAGGTTTTCATGAAAGTGTTGGTCAGTTTGTCTGCTTGACAATCCCATTTTGCACTGCAGCAATAAAACTGAATTTTTTTTTAATTAAAACGTTAAAACAGATGTTGCCAAAGTTTTCATTTGAGGACACAATTTGAAGTTGGAAAAAGGTAATAAATTGCAATATATATCGCAGAATGTATTTTAAAAATATATTGTATTGTGATAATATTGTGTGTGTGTGTATATATATATATATATACATTTATTGTGACGAGGGTCCCGAAGCTGCATCAACGTCGCTCTGGAAACAAGCGAGGAACACCTGGCCGTCCTCATCACAGGCTGATCGGTCACAGCTGCAGCTCATCAGCCGGCGGCCACATAAGCCACGCAAGCCCTGCCATCTGGGAGACTTCTCCATGAGACAGAGCACTAACTCGCCCTCTCATTTCTCCCACAGACAGCACCCAGTTAGCAAACAAATTTGGCCCAGATTTGGCATGCATCTGGGACAGCTGGCATTCATCTGGCACTGGCATGCAGCATGTGGGCCAAACATGGCCCGGGTTTAAGACGGCACACAAGACATGGGCCAGATGTCAAATGTAGTATTTGGCCCAGATGTCAAATATAGATATGTGGGCCACATAAGTATGGCCGATCTTGACCCAAATTTAAAATCCATTTCAAATATTTTTGAGTAAAATCCCAATGTTTTCCCATACAGAAAGGTAATATATTCACATATATGTGAAACACTGTTAAATATATTGAAATATATTTTTAAAATGCATAACATAAAGCTCATGTTGCGTGTTTAATTATGTGTTTACATATGTGAAATTATATTCATGCCTCATATGATATTATATGATATATGATATTATAGCTTATATTATAGAATAGTATATTCTGTTGGTATGTATATTTATATATATAAACTGACTTCAAACAATGTTTTGCATTTACTGCTTTCATATTCTCATTCAATTTACAGTTTGATGTAGGCCTACTATCCACTTAAACAATACATTTAGTTTCAGGACATTTTATTTGACTTGTATGTACTATTTATGTAAATGCGTAACTTTGATGTGTTTTAACGGGCGCGCGCGATAGTAAAAAAAAAGATATTTGAAATTAAAATTATTAACTGTAAGACAGAACCAGAGTACTGTGAGCGTACCTCACTTCAAACTGTAACGGTCTGTATGTATATTATTTTCTAAACTTTAGTGAAGTGTTTGTTCAAGCAGACTTTGTTGCTTGTGGAAACCTCACGCAAGCCTGAAAGGTGCTTAAAACTTAAAATCTTATTTGCACTCTTGAAGAATGTTCACCAAAGACTAAATTTCAGTCCGGCAGAATTTTCTGCACACTTCACCACTGAGGCCAAAATGAGCATTGTGAATGTAAGAGCCTCACACTACGTTGTTTGTTTGAATTGTATTTCAGGGCAGTCCGTGAAGACAGATAACCTGGACAGATCCAGATGATTCCAGATCCAGCCTCCACACCAGACTTCTCACTCACAAGGATTGCTGTCTACTAGATATTATGTGTACTCTTCAGACTTGGGTGCATGCAGATATTATTCAGAACATTTGAATATTGCAAAAATAGAGAAAGTACCTTATTTAAGAATTTTGTGTTAATTGCGTAAATATAATTTGTTTTATATATATTTACTGCTTTTTGTTTTGTTTTCCAAAGCACCTAAAAGCCCATTCACACTGCCATACTCCAACAGGGTGAACACACTGCCCAAGCAAAACAAATAAGTACGTTAGGTGTGAGATTCATTCAACTTGGTTTGCTGATTAAACATGATTAAATATTTGTTCAGAATACTGTCGTTGTTGTGACTATTCATCTGGGAGGGGTGTGTATCAAGTGGCTTGGTTATGGTTTTGTTGAGGCTGACATGTGGAACCCATCTGGTCCAGCGTATAGGATCAGAATAGGGCCAGCTATGGTCCTACAGGTGGCTGAGATATGGCTCTGTCATGGCCCATTTATGGCCCATATTTTGTCTGCCAGGTTTAGTTCACCTGGATCAGGCTCAGGTGTGGCTCAGTTTTGGGCGTTCTGGTTAAAGATTGGTGTTGATATGGTTTACTTAAGGTTGTGTTTTGGTTCCATTGTTACATTTTGATCTGGCCCAATTCAGGGCCAGTTATGGGTAATTAACTTGGCTGAGACTTGGGCCAGTAATGGCCCATGTGTGGCCCTTGTCTGGAATCCAGACCTGGTCCACACTAGTACCGTAATACATTGCGGTATGTGGGCCAAGCAAAAGCTGGTTGTGTGGGCCGGAGCTGGGCCAGAGAAAAATTGCTATGTGGGCAGCGTGTGACCGACCAGCCCCACAGGAGCACTGCACAGACCCTCTGCACTGGGAAGACGGAAGAGACCACTCACGGCACCGGAGCACCTACCTGGATTTTTCTCCCTACCACCCTCCTCACTAATAAATCCACCCTCCGGGGTATTGATTAAGATTTCCTTGTCGTGTGATTCTTCACCCCGTTACAATATATTTTGTTTGTTTGTTTTTCCTTTTTTAAATAGAGAAAACCCAGCAAAGGCATTTAAAGTCTTAAGAATGGAGGCAGATTATCTGCTATGTTTGAAATAAGTAAATCAAGGCAAATGTAATACCACACTTCATCACTAGATGCATGTTTAGCCCTATTCATATACAAATGGGTTTGTGCAATCCCTGTGGTTGCTGAGAAAAGTGTTTTCATAAATAATATATAACATACTTTTAGTAGGTTTTGCATTTGGCTCTATATTTATTCATGTTTAAAGGCTACTTGTTGTGTCTTTTTGCTCAAGTAACTGATAAACAGTCTCAAACATTGTCTTTGAGCTCACTCTGTCTGTTTTTTCCCAGCTGTTATCAAAGCCCTTCAAATTAGAATAAAGATGGCAATTGTTAATGTTTAGATATATGTTAGCTTAAACTGTGCTGAGTTTATTAAACAAACCAGGCAAAAACCATAAAGAAAATGTTAGAGCTTGAAAAAGCAATAAAGTTACTCAAACCTAAATGATACTCAGATAAATTACAGTAAATGTCTACTGCATGTTATTGTTTTACTGATAAAAGGTCTTTTTACCGTGAAATGGTTTTCAGTTTAATTCAATTACAGAGTCGCTTTGCAATAGTGTGGTTTGAGTGACTTTTATTTTATTTCCTGAACTATAGAATAGAATAAAAGGTTTTACACTTTACATTCTGTCTCCCTCACATCTGAAATGCTACGGCCCATTTATTTATTTATTTTTCCCATTACTAAAGAGTCTATGCCACATGATGATAGTGTTTGGTCAGGTGTAATACAGTCAGAGTGAAATTTCAGCTTTTCAAGAAAAATCCAATATTGTTATTTAACATCCATCCTGAACTTGTGTCAAAATTAAGTAGCATATTATGAGGTGTAACACATATTGTGCACATAAGAGGTAAAAATTTGTGTACATACATTTTAATCATAAAACAAACAAATGGATATATGATTTATATAGCTGTTAGAAATACAAGCAATTAATGTAAATTTCCATTTTTTGTTAACTGCAAAAAGTCAATGTCATTTTTTATTAGGAAGTACATAATGCAGGTCCAGAGCACGGCTGTGATGGAGATGGTCACTGAGAGTCCACTGTGCCTAGTGCTGACCCGGTCTACACTGCAGAACCCGCCACAGCCTGTGGAGAGCAGAACTAATGGATCAGACAACAGTGAAAGCAGTGCTGCTAATGTGTAGCTATCATTTCACATGATATGACGTTGGAATCCACCAGTTCAACAGACAGAAGTGTATATTTGCTGTCAGACCAGGCAGTTATAATGAACCTTTTCCAGTTATTATGAACGCTATCCTTAGTACCCCAAATCACATAGACTGTGCTTTTACTTGAAGGTTTTGTTTTTACAGTTTCCTGACAGATAAAAGATTTAGCATTGTCTTGTTTTTCCCCCCTTCCCAATCTGGGTTAATTTTCTGTTGCTTTATACAGCTATGTTGTACAATTACATGTTTATTTGGTATGGGTTTAAAGAGTTTTAGGTGAAGATTTCCCCATCATTTGTTTCTTTGTGTTCTTCTCAGGTTTTAGTAAAATTATGTAACATTTTGGAGAAAATATGCAAAATAGTAAACCAAAACTCGAAGCTAAAATAGCAAATATCTCCACAGCTACAGTAAATTTTCCAGGAGAACTGACATAAGCTGGAATAAATGTGAGCCAGACAGCACAGAATATGAGCATACTGAATGTGATGAACTTGGCTTCGTTGAAGTTATCAGGGAGCTTACGAGCAAGAAAAGCTAAAACAAAACACAAAATTGATAGCAGGCCAGTATAACCCAGAACAGCCCAGAAACCAAGAGCTGAACCTACGTTACATTCTAGGATGATCCTTTCTCTGTAATAGCTCAAATTCATATATGGGAAAGGAGGGGATATTGTTAACCAAAGCACACATATAATCATCTGTATTAGTGTTAAGAAAACAACACTGAGTTGCTGTTGAAGAGGCCCAAACCATTTCATAACATTACTTCCTGGAAGTGTAGCCTTGAAGGCCATTAAAACTACTATAGTTTTCCCCAGAATGCAGGAGATACAGAGGACAAAAGTGATCCCAAATGCTGTGTGACGCAACATACAGGACCACTCAGTGGGCCGACCAATGAAAGTAAGTGAACAGAGAAAACACAAAGTCAACGAGAAGAGCAACAGGAAGCTCAGCTCTGAGTTGTTGGCTCTGACAATAGGTGTTTCTTTATGAAGATAAAAGAGAAGAGATACAATTATCGTTAATAACAACCCAATGAAAGAGAAAATACAAAGCACCATCCCCATGATTTCTGTATAGGAAAGGAATTCAATCACTTTTAAAACACATCTGTCTTTGCTTTCATTTGACCAGTACTCCAAATCACAAGGAAAGCAGTCACTAGAATCTGTGAAGGAATTTCAAGAAAATATTACTGAATGGAAAGTGCATGATGAAGTCACTTGATCAATGAGAATTATTCAGCATGTATTTTACCTGTGCCATTACTGATTTCTCCTTCTCCACATGGAATGCAGTCATAGCAGCAGACAGGTCGTCCTTTTTGCACAGCCTTCCTAGTTCCAGGGGGGCAGCTCTCACTGCACACGGACACAGGCAACTATAAGAAAACAAGTTGGCATATAAATATCATGTTGTCATATGATACCATGAAATAATTTCCCCCTGCGATTTCAATAATTTTCCCATTCTGGTTTCATATAGTCTTTGTTCTTCAATGCTGTCATTTTCATGATTTTAACATATATTTGATTTTAACATTTATCAATGATATTCTAGTAACAATGTACCTGTCCACTGTCCCCTGCCCATAGAACGTGTTCCTGATTGACTTGAAGATGTTGCTCTGAAGGCAGCGAGCTGTCATAGAAGCCCACATTCTTAAACTGCAGACTTCCATCCTGAACAGGCTGCCAGTTAACAAGGTCATATCTCGCCACTGGATCACCACTTGCATCAAAGAAGATTTCTTCACCTGTTTTGATGGTGAATTTCACACCTCCGATATACTCTAACACCTGAGAGGACAGATCCATTATTTCTATTTTAATTAGTTTCATTATGCTTTTTTCTATTGTTATTTTATGAGCTCTAAATACCTTTTGTGGTGTTGGTCGTTCTCCTTTGCTGATTTTGGTGGAGGATTTAATGTCTTTTAATATATTATGTAGTGTATGTGCAATAGCATACACTGCAGTGTACACTTTATTTGCTATTCGTAGCTCTGACACATCAGTATATTCATTTTGCAGCTCTGCAAGTCTCTCTGAACCAGTACAGCCACCACTACCACTGTTCCTGAAAGAGCAATGAAAAGCTGTTTCCCAGAATTCTTTTAACAGTTCATTGTTTGGTTCTTGATCACGGTGCACATTCACTAGAAACTCTCGCAGACCCACAAGTTTAGCATTTGCTATAGCAAAGCCCACTGCTCCAGAAAGGAAACTGTATTCCTTAGTTTCTGCAAGAGTTCGAGAAGTGATCCAGGATTCACTGCCTACCCACTGTATCCCTGTGATGTTATGCTGTGAAATTACTTTCAGGAGGGGAACAAAATCTCCTAATGCAATAAAAGCCAGCACCACCCTGGCAGTGCCCTTCTTTATCACTTCCACCGTCTTCAGGAACTGGTCTTGTGGATCAGTTTTAAATATGGCCTCTGAGTATTCAATACAAATCCCTTCTTGTTTTGCAGCCTCCTCAAATGCAGCGATGCCATTATTACCATAGTCACTGCGACTCCTGACCATCCCAACCCAGGTCCAGCCAAAGTGCTTGACAAGCTGAACCAGCGCTCTGCTTTGATAATAATCACTGGGTATTGTTCTGAAGAAGGATGGATAAATGTTTCTGTTACTCAGGCATGCACATGTGGCAAAATGACTAATCTGCAAGAAAAAAATGCAGAGTATATCAAAAATGTTTTCTTTTTTTTTAACTCATTAATCCACTATACATTCAATGCAATTTTTATTCAAAACGATTTTAAAAAGAGGAACAAAAGCAATCACTACTATACAAATAGCATAACTATTCTAAACATACTGCTACAATCTAAACAATTTAAGACTTTGGTGTCTATATTTACAACAATGGATTTAAATTTAATATTTAAATATTAAATTTAATATGTTTAATATGCCTTGTAACATAGATTTTGCTGCATATTCCAGTTGTTTATCATACACATATCCAACATGATAACAAGCAGCAGACAAGTAAGAGTTCTCACAACAGGTAAGCTGAATGGACCAACTAAAGATGCCAAACCAATGGTGGGAGAGGAGTTTGATTCTCCAACAATTGCATGAACAGCTGGTGGTCTAGAGCAGGATGTATCACTCAAAGTCTCTTCATAACCATTCATCAAAGCCATGCCTGAGAGGATAGTCAGAGCTATAGAGCTACAGGAATCATATATCTTATAGCCCAACGAAACACCAGGCAAAAGTTGTGTGTTGTTATTAATCTCCTCAATTGCAAAAATCAGTGTCTGAGCAAATTTGAACTCACGCAAGTTGAAGCTGTGAAAACAAAGCATCAGTTGTGTATTTACATTCTGCAAAGAATTCTCAGAATCATGTTCAACATTTTATTTATCATAATGTCTAATCTCAAAGAGTTACTTTAATACAGACCTGATGCATGTTGTTGGCTCTGGTTCAGAAGTGAAAGGATGCATCTTTAGCAGAGCACTTCTATGGAATGAGAAAATCGCCCCAATATTAATGTCTTTTTGCGCAGAAAGTAGTGGAAGGGCAGGCTGACCAAGCAGACTGCAGACTTGTGCTGAAGCTGGCACACAGACCCCATACACCACCAGGAAAAGTAGCACCAGTGGTACAGTCCTTTTTGCCATATCAATAAATACACAGGGCAGGAACCTCTGAGGCAGAACAGGGACAGTCCTGCCTTTTATTGTTTTTTAAATGTCCTTTGGGGTTGGCATACTCAATCCTTATCTATCATGAGCTTTAATGTAGTCAAACCAAAATGTATTCAGACACCTTCAACATTTCACACATTATCACAGTTTATCCGCTATAGTTTAGAACATCTATCTTGATAATATCAGATAACACTTAAGAAAAATATGGTCAGGTCAAAGTGTCTAAATAATTTTTGGTCTCAAATTATTATACATTTGACTGGTAGTCCACTGTATGAAGAATTTTTGGGTATAATATGTCACAGTTTACTTTGTTTTGCTATCCTGACTTACATAAATTAACTATAGCGTCCTGCACCCACTAGTAAAAAAATATATATATAAAAAATTATATCTGGTGTCTGAATAGTTTTTGGTTTAACTGTATTTGCAGATTTTCCTCTTATGCCTAGGTTGTCTATTGGTGTGAAAAGCTGTAAATTGCAGAGAACCCAAACTTGATGGGATGGTTCCAAATCCCATCTGCCACTCAGACAAAAGCACAAATCCAATTGACTCTATTTGGTGCTATAATATAATTGACAAATAACAAGAAATTATTTATTTATCTAACCTTTTTTTTTAACACATCCTAAAATGTTTCTCATTTCTCTGAAAATGTAAGTGATCCTCATGACAAAAAGTAAGCAAAACCATTTTGATTCATCATAGCATTGCACAGATATTACATTTGGGGTATTGCTCGTTTTGTCCGAACTCAAAACATGACAAAACACATAATGATATTTTCAATTTAATTATGGTGGGAATAAAAAAAACAAGGATCACACCTTAAAATGATATATTTCTCTCCCAGAAGTCTTTAAAACATGTGCAGTTTATGGTCATGACTTAACTATAAAATTAGCTCTTAGTTATAAGCTCATAATTATACACTATGACAAATGGCTCTCATAGCAATGATAATACTTTAGCAAAAAATTAACTTTTTACGTTTTTTTTTTACTGTTTTGCTAATTAAAAAATATAAACAAGTTTCTTATGATAATAAATACACTTCAAAACATTAGCGTGTAGTCTTCTAATATATTAGTCTGTAGTTACACTTCAAGACTTTGTAGCGGACGGATGGATCGGACACACAATTATTTGCTATATTTAATGAATAATCCAACATACTCATCACCCAACAAAAAAACTAGGTACCGAGGTATCTGTTAACAACCCCCTAATGCCCTATTTGGGTGGGATTAGTTTTACAAGGGTAGATGGAGTAATGTAATTTTACCACAGGATGTATAATGGTCAATTCGCGGGGGATAATTGGCCATTAATATTACAATCTAATATTAAAATTTTACAGTCTGATAAGAAATCTCAGTAAAACTACCAGAAGTGGGAGGAATAAATTAATTTATGCACTGCCATCACCTCCCTGTCACCATGTGTGTACCACATTGCTTCCTGTACATACTAATTTCCATATAAGTAATGTATTTATAATATGTTTTTAAATATAAGTAATATATTTATAATATGTTGCTTATGATATCAGTTAGGTCTGGTCAAATGATTTAGTAATTGAATTCTGATTGGATTCTGTTGGTAATAGGCACTTACCTAAAATAGTTTTAGGTAACAGAAGTTTCATGCCAGGAAATAGCAGAATATTTACATACATATTTACAGCTGGTCAGTTCACACAGGATTAGCATTACCTGAGGTAATTTTTCCGGACACTTTTACAGAAGGTAAAAGTTATCGTAATTTTTACTGACATTGTCTGTAATGATTTCTGAGACGGCATATTTGAACAGGAATAAAATCAATGAGAAGCTCTGGGTAATAACTCTCTTACCACAACTCTCCATGTAAAACTAATCTGGTACGAATAGGGCTTAAGCCACAACTAAAACCCAAATGCAGAACATACCTCTGGCTACCACTGCAGCAAAGATAAATCATCAAAGTGTTTTACAACCCAAAGGAATTAAGAAAGAGTTTCCCTCTCACTTCATTCACTAGTGCAGGGGTAGGCAAGTTCGGTCCTAGAGAGCCGCAGTCCTGCAGAGTTCAGCTCCAACCCTGAAAAAAAACTCACCTGCCTATATAGCCTTAGTAATCCTGAAGACATTGATTGGCTTGTTCGGGTGTGTCTGATTAGGGTTGGAGCTGAACTCTGCAGGACTCTCTAGGACTGAACTTGCCTACCCCTGCACTAGTGAAACATCCACATAATGCCATGAAAACATCCAATAATCCATAGACATACCTTTTTATGAATGAACATGCATACCCCAGGACATTATGTGTATTATTACTATTTTGTATATTAGCTTTTGTATTGTATACTTTTCCATGCATGCCTTATAATATAATTTTTCAGGGGCTACCCTGTAATAGTCGACTAAACGTTAGTTGATGAGAAGAGGCTTAGCCAACCAATCTTTTATTAGGTGTCGAGATTGTGTTATAAACCATTTTCTTCCTAGCTCTTCAGCCCACAAGTATTGAATTACTTGAATATAAGGGTGTTAAATGAGCAGGGATATTGGGCGATACCTAAGGTGGAACAGACACTTGTGAACTATCAGTCCCTCAGATAGTATCTATCTGACTCAGTGTCTTTCCTTAAGGCCCCATTATTACCCACCAAGCCTTGCAGGACAACTTTGGCAGGTGAGGCTGGGGTGTGTCTGCATACTATGGCTTTGTTGCAGGCATACCAGGCTTACCTGCTACGATACCCTGATGAAGGTGAGGGGGTGGGCCCGGACGTGATTAATAGCTGTGCAGGACACAAGTGAAACAAGTGGCAGTGATCCAACACTACCTCCTTCGCTGGGCTCAGGTCTCAGGGGCTGCCTGGAAGGAGCAGCTCCAGCCATAAACCAGATCCTTCTATCAGGCGCAGCAGAAGTAGAGTGATGCTTCACAAGCTCACGTGCAAAGATAATGGGGTCAGGAAGGCACTCTCAGTTTAAGTCTTCTAGAGAGAAGGCAGATTTGAGGACATTTATTCTCTAGAAGATGACTTCCGCAAAGAGGTCCAACCGCCGAATGTGTCAGGCCTCTGAAGGCAGGCCCCTCCATGGAGAAACTTTTAACACCTCAATATATACGGTGTCTGACTCTCCTTGTTGCCTTCAGTAGACCAGATTAGTAACTATGCTTCACCACCTCTCAACTTTTTTGATTGATAACGACATTTGACATTTTATCCTGAGAGGTTTAACCCCTTGACCATCCTCGGACCACCCAAGTTGTGTTCACCTTTGACCCTTTAATAATCTCCAGATGTCAATATGCCATATGGTTTTAGCATATTTGGAATTCCAATGTTGACCCGTGACCTTTTAATTATCTCTGGCTGTCAATATCACATATGGTTTTAGTATATGTGGAATTCCGTTATTGACCCGTGACCTCCGGGTGTGCAATATGAAGACTGATCGATTTTGAACCTTGACATGCCAAATTAGAAGCCCACAGGCTCATTTTTGACTTTTCATGGCATCTGTTGACCACATATGTGGCTATCCTGCATCATTCCATCTCATGGTCACTCTACTACAGTCATGTGAGGGAAGAAGGTTTTGGCCAAATCTAATGATGTACAAACAATATCAAAGTGAGTAAACAATTTTAACAGACCATAAGGGCAAATCACAATATGTGTGTACACACCTACACACAATTGAATGTATAAAAGGTGTTTCTTCTTATTTAAAGATGTGTATAAATAAAAATAAATGATGTGTGTATATATATATATATATATATATATATATATATATATATATATATATGAGGGGT